AATGCGGAAGTGCCTATTGACTAGTTGAGTAGTCAATGGAAATTCCATCCACTACTCGACTAGTCAATTAACAGTTACTTAACATCCTTAGTTCACAGGTGTGTTGGTAACTTAATGAATGTTACAATTCATATGAATTTTCACTATCTGAGTTGCTTTCAGTTTTGCCAAGGCAAAATGAACCTCAAAAACTAAGTGAATCATAGTGACTTTCAACCAGCTTTCAACCAAATCCTGACAAAAGTCAGTGAATTGACCTGGGTAATGCAGTACAGGTTGTACCTCCCTGGTCCGGCACCCTAGTCAGGATTATGGATGTAATAATGTAGTAGATTAACCGATTACTAGTAAGCAAAAGCTTATCAGTTAATGATATAGACTTTACACATTTCCTCCCCTCCTCCCCCACCAGTAAATTTTTTAGCAGGCTGGCCAGCAGCCTGGCTCAGTCCTGGCTTGTGATGGGTCTGGGACCTACTGCTACTGCAGTTCTGCATTTAAAGTGTGTTAGGAGCCAGGTGGGCATGCAGCCCAGCTCAGTTCTGTCTCGTGCTGGGTGCAGGAGCTCAGACCCCTCTACCCCGGACAGGGGCTGCTCTACAGGGCAACAGGCAGCCAGTCCACAAAGGAAGCTGTTTTTTAAACTGGCTCCCCTCATGGACCAGATTCTGCCTGGCACCCTGCACTGCTGCCTCTGATACAGAGGCAGCAGTGTGGAATGGCAGGAGGCTTCTTGGGAGTGTGGCTGGAGCTCAGTAGCTGTTGTCCCCAACCCAGGGACTATAGAATAGTTGAGTAACTGATAAGAATTCATGAAGTTAATTGACTATTCAGTTAACCAATATTTAACATCCCTAGTCGGAACCTGACCAGTCCTGAATCAGGGAATCTGCTGGACCAGGGAAGTTAATCCCAGTCCCTATGCTGCTGCCGACTGCAGGGCCTGCTATGGTGGAAGCAGAGGGACTGGCATTGATGAAGCAGGGACTGGAGGGGGGGGGGGGGAAGAGGCAGGGGCCCAGAGACCAGCCATGTGGGTCTTCGCAGACATCCTGCCTCTTCCTCTGAATGTCTCCATATCTCTGCTCCTCCCACTGTCTCCCTGAACTTGAGCTATTTGTGGCATTCTGGAAGCTCTGGCAGGGTGGGTAGGGGAGTTGCTGAACTTCGGGCCCAGCTTTTCACTGTGAGTGCTCCAGCCCGGAAATACTATGGAGGTGCTGGACCACAGATGTTGCTGGACAACAGAAGTCTGGACTATTGAGGTCCAACCTTTATTTTAAATGAAAATGACTCTCCCTGAAACTATTTGTGACATAAAGAGTTCCCTCAAAATTTAGCCCAAATTCACTGCAAACTTGGGTTATGTTGTCTTTCAAAGGGCTATGAGCCAAGCAAATGAAAATTTCACTATAAAAATTCTCAACAAGACAACTAGAGAATACAGTTACAGAACCAGATGGCATTTGTTGGAAGCCCATCCCGTTTTTTTTTTTAAAGTGAGTGTCTTTAAAGCTCTGCATGGATACAAAATATGTATCCATGGATATCCATGGAACTGCAGGGATCAAAGCAGCAGCATGTTGGGCTGTTGCTTAGGGATGTAAAATTTCAATTATTTGTCTAATTGAATAGGCGATGTGATTTGCATTGATTATTTGATTTGTCGATAGGGTGCTTCATACTACAAAGGTGAAAGCGCGGGGGGGGAACACGGGGCCAGCAGTGTACTCAAGCATTCTCTATTGGCCCCATGCTCCCCGCGGCGTTTCAAAGCGGGGAGTCCCCAGCTGGCCCGGGCTGCATGCGGTACGGCTGCTTTAAAATGCTGTGGGGAGCCTGAGCCATCTGGTGATTCCCAGTTGGCTTTGGGCTGCACGTGGCATTTCAAAGCGGCAGCACTGCATGGAACCCGGAATCTGGCCCCAGGCTCCATGCAGTGCTGCTGCTTTGAAGCACCCCCTTTTCTCCTCCCACCCCTTGCTGCCTCTTTCTGATAGAGGCAGCAAGGGGGGGGGGGAGGGAGGTGCACAGATCCTCTGGCATGTCTGTACTGTCCTTATCATGCTTACTGAGGCAGACACCGTGTTCATCAGCAGCTGTCCCTGGTTGAACTAGTGGGTGCAAGCAGTAACGTCCCTTCCACGCAATGGTTGGTGTCTCCTTTCGCTGCTGTGGTTCCTGGTAGATTCCTGCAGCTCCATGGATATATGTTGAATCTATGCAGGGATCTACACGTGAGATTTTTCTTGGACTTTAAAGATAATTTTTGTTAGCTTCTAGCATTTGCTAAACAACAAATACCTGACTGGTGGGCGACATGCCGAGAATGATCAGAAAACTGAAAAAAGTTAAAGTAAACCTAGTGAATATGTATATTGTATTTAATATTCAAAAAGCTTAAACTTTATTTGGCACAGGTAAAAAGCAAAATATCCTAGCAAAATATTCTTTCAATATTAGTTGAAGTCTTACAAATAAAATGGCTGGCATTAAAATATTTACAAGTAATTAATGTAATTTATTGAATTTCTTTAGTGCCTAGATCAGGATTAGTCAGTTATTTTTGTCAAGATCCAGGATTCTTGGTTAAGGTTCAATCTCCCAGAAAAAATATTTATTATTGTTACTGTTATTGTTAAAAATTAAGTAAATAAGATGTTGAGGTCCATTCAGAAGCGTCTGACAGTCTTGGTTTTGGTCCACAGTCTGCTTGTTGCCTACCCCTGCCTATGTGCTCTAACAAAGACCAGGTCTCCATTGTGCTAGGTGCTGTGCAAATGTATCATAAGACGATCTTTCTTGTGTACTTAGAGAGTAGAGCTCTTCAGAGCAGAGAAAAAGGATGGGAGGGCAAATTGAGTCACACCTATGTGAAGTGACTTAAGCCAACAGCTCAGTGCAGTAGCACTTGGTCACCTGCTTCTCAGGCCAGTCTGGCCAGGGCAGTGACAGCAGGGCCAGCAACCCAGCAGGCAGCCCAGCAGGGCCTGGAGGTAGTCCCTCCTCCCTCCCCGCCCCCTCGCCCCGGAGTTGGCAGAGTTGGTGGCTGGGGACCCTGGCAAGGAACCTTCTCTAGACTGCACTGCTTTTCTGGGATACTGAAGGTATCCGGGATACTGAAGGAAAAGCAACACCACGTCCAAAGAACGCATCCGCTTTTCTGAAAAAAATTCTATAAAGCAGATGCACTCTTTCATCATCCCTGTAAACCTACAAAGAAGAAGGGATGTATCAAAAGAGCACTTTTTCTCTGAAATTTGACACCATGTAGACGTGCCAAATTTCAGAAAAGCCTCTTTCTGAAAATTGCACTTCTTTTTCCGATTTAACTTTGCAGTTGTTGGTTGCGTAATATTAATATTTAAAAATACAAATGAATATATGAATATAGCTTATAAATCTTCTAAACCTGTGTGCCCATTTTGCAAATACAATAGAATTCCATAAATACATGTCAGTTTTTTACATTATTTCTGGGGGAATTGTGTGTAAAAAACATTATGTCCACAATATTTTAAAATTCTGTACAATTTTGCATATTTTTATCAAAATAACACAATATAATCAAGCTAGCTTCAATTATTTTGGTAATTTATTTTAAAATACCTTTTAGTATATAACAATAAAGACAACAAAGAAGATTGAGGAAATGTTTTCTGACAACTAGATTCTCTACTAAGCATATTAATGCAGACGTTGGAATAATAATTCATTTAAACTACGATACAGAAATGTCTTTCCTGCATCCCTCAGAAGCAGCACAAAGGCTTGGGTTAGTCAGGCTCACAGAGGGCCTAAGGTAGAGGGACAGAACCTGGTGAGGAAACCTGGGGGGTTGTTGGGTGTGGGTTGGAAACGTATGGAACAGGTATTTGATGATTGATTGCAGGGGAGAAGAACTGTTAGGGAGTCAGGGAGCCTTCCCCACACAGACCCCTAACCTTTCCCATTCATTTAGGCACATCTCTGTTTTCTGCAGCCCCTTTCCTCCTGTCTCCATGTGGCCTGGCAGCCCCACTCTCATTCAGCACCTGGTTCACTTTTGTCACCCCACTAGCTCCTGTGCCTGCCCCCACTCTGTCCCTCCTGCTAACCCTTCTGAACCCCAGTTTGTATTAAGCCCCCAGCAGGCCTGATATGTCCCACTCTGTGCAACCCATCCACCTCATGTATTCTGTGCATCCTCCTTCTCTAGCCCTGCTGTGAGGAAGGCAGCCTCTGACTCCGCCCTGCCCTCGCTTTTGTGCCTCTAGGGGACAAAAGTTATAATTGCAGCATCTCGTCCGCAAGAATGTACGTTCTGCAGGGATATGAGTTCTGCACGTGTGCAGTGATACAAAGTTCCCATGGGAGTACAGGTTGTCCTCACTATAAGTCCAAGATACATTCCAAAAAACTTGGACTTATAGCAAAACAATTTAAAGTGGGGAATTTTTTTCCTGTGGCTGACTTCCATTTGCACAAATTGGTTTTTTTTTTTTGCACAACTTCAGAGTGGGGAATGGGAGGACTTATAACACATCAGTTTCTACAAGCGTCAATGACGTTAGTGTGGAACAGATGTATACCGGGACAACTTCTAGTGGGGATGCCCTGTACAACATATAGATCCTCTCATAGGAAAGGGAAAAAAAGCAAAAGATATTGGACAGAAGAGTCTCATACAGAATTGTAGATGGAAGATGTTACCTTCTTTTGAGTTTCATGACTTCTGTAACTATTTCCATTAGTGGGTTCTCTCTTATTTTATGTTGTCACCGTTTATGTATATATGACTAGGCCAGATTCGGATCCCTGGTACACTTGCATTCATCCACCATAACCCCGTTGACTTATCTTTTCACTTTTTACTACATGGAATGTAGTTTTGATTGTATAGTTTAGGCGAGTTTTTTTTAAAGTAGTTTTTTTATACCAAATTGAACGTACCAGTTTCATTGTTTCCCATTAGCTTTATTATGATCCTTTTTCTGAATGTGTTTTTTCTCTTCCTACAGTAATTGCTTAGAAATGATTGTCACCTAAGAAATCGGCTATGGCAAACAGGAAACGTCAAAGCACTACAACCAGCATGCTGGATCACAGGGTGATCGCTTGCCCTACTTCATCTCACATCAGAGAGCCTGAAAGTGAAGAAAATGACCTGCCAAGTGAAGAATACATAGCAAAGGAGGCAGAGCTAACAACTGTCAGAGGAGGTAGCCCTACTGCTGTGGAACAGGAGTGCAATGACAACAGTGGAGATGGCGACTCCAGCTCTGATTATGTGAATAATACCTCTGAAGAGGAGGACTATGATGAAGGCCTGCCAGAGGAAGAGGAAGGGATCACGTACTATATTAGGTACTGTCCAGAGGATGACAGTTACCTGGAAGGAATGGACTGCAATGGGGAAGAGTATGTTCCTCATGAAGAACACCAAGTTGAAACTGATGAGTGTCAAGAAGCTGTGGAAGAGGAATGGTCAGAAGCTAACATCCAGCACCATGATGAAAGTGAAGCGACAGAAGGGCAAGACTACCATGATAACTGTGTTCAGATTCTGGAAGATGAAGTATCTTCTCTGGAGATTCAAGACCAAGAAGAAAACGTACAATACTGTCAAAATGAAGAAAGCTATCCAGACTATTATCTACCAGAAGCTAATGGAAACAGTCATGGGATATCCCCCTATCATTTGAGGAAAGAAGATGCTGAGTTGGAAGAGCAGGAAGAAGACATTGATCAGATTGTAGCTGAGATTAAAATGAGCATGAGTATGAGCAGCATTAACAGCACAACAGAAATGAGCCCTGAGTATGCCGGGACTGAAAATGTGCAAAATGACTATAAAGAGACTTGTACAAAAGGTGATGCTGATCATAGTACCAACAGACATGAAGGGAGGCCAAAATCATTGAATATTCCACCTGTTTCAAAGCATGCTGGAGATATGCCTAGAGGCTTTAAAACAAAGTCAAGAACTCCTGAAGACAGACAGAAATGGCCACAAGAACAGGTATGAGGCTCTCTTATGTAATTAGACAACTATTAATCCTGTAGATAGTAACTTCTTGGAGGCATTATGCAAATGGTTGTCACTAAATTCTGTCTAAACAATAGATGAGCGCACGTGTATAGCAATATTTACTCTGCATTGTCATCTTAGCTTTATATCTACACTATTCAATGAATTGAATGTCTTAGAAAATTGGGCTAGGTAAGGTCCAGGCGGCTAAATTAGCAATATTGGAAAACTGGGATTTTATACATTAACCAGACATTCTGGAGATAAAAATTGGCATGTCTTTGGTAATTAAAACACTTCAAGCAAAATAGTCTGGCAGTGGTGTAGACGCATCAAGTTTTTTCAGTGATTTTTTTTTAATGTCATGTTGATTGTCATGCAGCAATGTGGGCAGAACTGAGGGCCACCAGTGTAATTGTCAAAGAAATTAGTTTTGGTGAAGGGCTGGTTAGTATACTAGAGGTTGATTTTCTGTCTTTATTTTCTTGTCCATAGAGTCTGAATGTGGGTTAAGGGAGGGTGAATTGTAGGTTGTGTCATAAGCAACCACACTAGCTAGGTGGTGGTACTATAGTCTTATTCTTGGCTAACGGGCCTCCCTGCACCAGGGTCACGTAACAATTTTCGTTTTGTGGAGGAGGACTAAAATAGTGTACAAATTGATTTTTAATGGCAAATGTACTGAAGCCTTCTGACTGGATTTCCCTGTCCTATGTTTATTATTAATCAAAAACAAGTTACAGTTTTGTCTGGATGGGGAAATCCTTGTTCTGGAGTAAAGAGTCTCAACATTAGCGGACTATGCTAAAAAACAAATGCACAAATATGTTTACTGTCTGCTAGGAATGTGAATGGGTAACTGATGAACTGGTTACCTGGTAAGCATTGTCCATAATGGGTGATGCTCACCAGGTAATGCTTAATCATTACCTGGGAGCAGCCATCCACCTGCAGCAGGCCATGAGCAGAAGGCTGCTCGAACCCAACGGGGCTGCTGGCTCCCAGCCCACAAGGGCTGGGAATCAGCAGCCTCGTGCAGATGGAAGGGAACCAAAAAGGGGATGTAGGGCTACCGGCTCCCAACCCACACAGCCTCACGAGCCGGGGGTCAGCAGGCTCACGCTTGGCAGAACTGGGGTGGGGTTGTAGGGCTGCCAGCTTCCAGCCCTCCAGCCGCCCTTCCCCTGCCACTTACACCTCCCCTACTGTGCAAGGTTGCCAACTCCCAATCTGTGCGAGGGTTGCTCCAGCCTGGCCATGGCAGCCCCCTCTGTCCCTGCCGGCAGGAAAGCCCCCCCCCATTTACATCCCCACAGTCTACTAACATTTGAGTATAACTGTTGCGACCTTGCTCATTACTAGAGTCATTGACATATTTTAAAACGGTAAGACGTTGGAAATAAGACTCTTCCATTCTTATCTTTTGGATTTACAAAATTTTATTTTCAGTATTCCCAACTGACCCCGGGATGTCGGCGGCATTTCCCCAGAACCCGGGATCATCTGGGGAGTTCCCAGCTGACCGTGGGCTCCAACTGGCATGCAGCATAAAATGGAGCCCAGGGCCTGTGGGGAACTGTGAGTCCCCTGCTGACTCCAGGCTCCATGGCTTCGAAATGCACAAGAGCCCCCACTGGGGACTTTAGTGCATTTCAGAGCAGGCACCCACATGCAGCCTGGAGTCAGCGGGACTTCCCGCTGGCCCTGGGCTCTACGCGGAGTTCCACGTTCCTCCTTTGAAATGTACAAGATCCCCAACAGGGCTCTTGTACATTTCAAAGGAGGAATGCAGAAGTGCCTATCGACTAGTCAATGGAAGTTCCATCGACTAGCCAACTAACCGCATTTTAACATCCTTAGAATAAATCATCCTTGCTAGGGCTTTGTCAATCTTGTTCTTAAAAACTCTAAGGATAGAGATTCTCCTACCTCCCTCCCTCCCTCAAACTTGAGAACATTTGCTCCTTGTTCTATCATCTCCCACCAATGAAAATAACCTGGCTCTATCCGACTAGCCAACTAACCGCATTTTAACATCCTTAGAATAAATCATCCTTGCTAGGGCTTTGTCAATCTTGTTCTTAAAAACTCTAAGGATAGAGATTCTCCTACCTCCCTCCCTCCCTCAAACTTGAGACCATTTGCTCCTTGTTCTATCATCTGCCACCAATGAAAATAACCTGGCTCTATCCTCTTCAGAACTTTATTTTTCCACATCCTTTCTGTAGTGGAGTCCCCAAAATGAACATAATGCTCCAGATTTGACCTCTTCAGTACCGAATAAAGGGGAATAATCACTTCCTTAGATCTGCTGGCAATGCTCTTGATAATGCAGCTCAATATGCCATTAGCCTTCTTTCTTCAGAGAGTTGAGGACTGCTACCAAATCCCCCCTCATTCTGGAGACTAGTTAAAGTCTAGTTCCCTCAATCTCTGCTCATAAGTCGTGCTCCAGCCCCAAACATTCATTGCCCATTTTCATTGGCTCTTTATTTTTCCACATCCTTTCTGTAGTGGAGTCCCCAAAATGAACATAATGCTCCAGATTTGACCTCTTCAGTACCGAATAAAGGGGAATAATCACTTCCTTAGATCTGCTGGCAATGCTCTTGATAATGCAGCTCAATATGCCATTAGCCTTTTTGGCTACAGTGGTACACTTGACTCGTATCCAGCTTCTCATCTATTGTAATCCCAAGGTACTGGGATTCTGAACAACTGCTGCTTAGCTAGTTGGGCCCCAGACTGCAGCAGGGCTTTGGATGATGTTGCTCTATCAGGAGGCTCGGATACGCTCAGTGAAGCCACGCCGGGTGCATCAACAGAAGAGGTTTTATTGCCAAAGCATATTACACCTTACAGCCTTCACGCATTGCTAAGTATGTGCTTCTCACCGCAGAAACGCTCAGTGAAGCCACGCCGGGTGCATCAACAGAAGAGGTTTTATTGCCAAAGCATATTACACCTTACAGCCTTCACGCATTGCTAAGTATGTGCTTCTCACCGCAGAAAAGCAGGCAATTAAGCAAGCAGGCAAGCAAGGATCCTTCTGCTACCGACAATCCTGGGCCTCCCGTCCATGCTGTTGAGGGCTGGTAGCGGGCGCTGCTCCAGTGTGAAGAATTCCTGGGCATCCCCAAGGCCTAGATCCACAGGTGGGACTGTCCGTTCAAGCAGTGCCTTTCGGCCGTTTTATAACTATTCCTTTCTTAGGGGCATAAACATCCACAGGCAGATTCTAGCCAGAAATATCACTGCTGTTCAATTCCCACACATCGTGTCTTGGGCTTAATTATCTCACAACTTGTTTATGCAGCTAAAGAGGCCTTGGGCCAGCTCATCGCTGGTTAGAGCTGGCTCACCTCTGTCTCCAGCCAGACCGTGTGCAACAAGACGCAGAGGTAACTGACGGTCAACCCTGACAGATACTTCCGTCCTAAGCGTAGGACTCTGCACGTGTCCTTGTTCAACCTTATCAGATTTCTTTTGCCCAATCCTCCAATTTATCTAGGTCACTCTTCATCCTGTCTCTACCCTCCAGTGTCTTAAGCCCAAGACACCTTTCCCCTCAGTTTAGTGTCATCTGTGAGCTTGCTGAGGGTGCAATCCATCCCATCATCCAGATCATTAATAAAGACGTTGAACAAAACTGGCCCCAGGACCACCCTGGGACACTCCACTAGGCTTGAGCCGTTGATCACGATTGAGCCCAACAATCTAGCAAGTTTTCTCTCCACTTTATTGTTCATTCATCCAGGCATACTTCTTTAACTTGCCAGCAAGAATACTGCTAGAGACTGTATCAGAAGCTTTGCTAAAGCCAAGGTTAACTGATGAGCCTGTGCTTATTGGTTAACCCTCTTGGTTACATGCAGCTCCCCTACCTCGACTGCCTCTGTATCAGAGGCAGCAGGGGGAGGGGAGAGGCGGGACCCGGTGCTCATGGGGAGCCAGTTTAAAAGCTGAGCCTGTCCCAAGGAGCTGCCTCCTCCCCGTCGCCCACACTGCTTCCTCTGCTAAGAGAGGCAGCAGTGTGGGGGAGGGGGAGCAGGTGGGAGCCAGTTCATGCCTTTGAAGCCAGCATTCGGTGTGAACCAGCTTCTGCTGAGCCGACTGCACCCTTTCCCAATACAGAGGCAGCAGGGGGTGGGAAATGGGAGGCGGTGCTCATAGGGAGAATCTTGCCCTTGAAGAATCTATATGATTGTTCCTGATCACATCCCTTTCTTCCAACTGTTTCAAAATGGGTTCCTTAAGAACCTGGTCCATGATTTTCCAGGGACTGAGGTGAGGCTGTCCAGTCTGTAGTTCCCTACAGTTCCGTTTTTAAAGATGGGCATGACATTTTCCTTTTTCCAGTCGTCCGAGATCCCCACTCCCTGATTACCAAAAGTTTTAAAAAATAATGGCCAGCGGTGCAGCAGTTATATCTGCCAACTCTCTGCACCCTCGTATGCATTAGATCCAGACCTGGAGACTTGTGCTTATCCAGCTTTTCTAAATAGTCCTTAACCCGTTCTTTCACTACTGCGGCCTGCTCACATCCTCTCCTAATATGTTGCCCAGTACAGCAGTCTGGGAGCTGACTTTGTGAAAACGGAGGCAAAAAAAGCATTGAGTGCTACAGGTTTTTCTCCATCATCTGTCACTAGGTTACCTCCCTCATCCAGTAAAGGTCCCAAGCTTTCCCTGACCACCACCTCTAACATACCAGTGGAAACCCTTCTTGTTATCCTTCACATCCCTTGCTAGTTGCAACTCCAGTTGCACTGTGGCCTTCCTGATTACATCTGGGCATGCTTGAACAACTATTTTTGTATGCTTCTCCCTAATCATCTGTCCAAATTTCCACTTTTTGTAAGATTTCTTTTTGTTTTCAAGCTCACCAAAGATTTCTCTGCTAGGCCAAGCCTGCCATATTTGCTGTTCTTTCTGCACATTGGGATGGTTTATTCCTGTGCCCTCAATAAGTCGTCTGATTGCAGCCAGCT